GCAGCCAGCGCCGGCCCGGCAGCGGAGCGGGGCACCCTCAGCAACGGAAAGACAGGCAGGGGAAAGGGCAGAAAACTCACTCGTCGGGGGGTTATTTCTATTTATTTTGTTTGCGACCGTGATTATTTTTGCCTAAAATACAGTTTAAAAAAAAAAAAAAGCTACAAACTTTTTCGAAACTCCAGACGGGGCTGCAGGAACTCAGAGGAATTCAGATCGCGGATTTTAGCTAGACCCATCCTAGCCGGTTCCTTACAGAAGGAGACGTCCTCGGCTGGGGCAGGAGCAGAGCTCTCTACGTTGCAGTCAAATTTAAGTGCTTGTGGCTGCCTCTTCACACACTGTGCGTCTGACGGGCTATCTGCTGGGTCTGTGTACGCACGGGGAGTGAATTTGCAGCGTATACGTCCGTGCGTGCCTGTATGGCGTTTGTACATAGGTTTGCCTCTGCCCTTTATTTCCCATTGGAATCGCATCATCCTGATTTTGGGCTGCTTCCCCCAAATTCTGAATCATTTTTTTCTCTCCGCTGTGCCAAAACACCTCCGCGCATTCGCAGCACCGGCGATTCCGTGATTTGCAGTGGCAGGAAACCCTGGGAAAAGGCGATCCTGAACTTCCCGTTCAGGAGAGATCGCCAGTGCCCGCGGATTCCTGCCCCGCGCCCGCGTACGCTCCGCGCCTCCGCGGTGCGTGGCTAACGAAGGAGCGCTTGCATATGCCCCTCGCTTAAAAACCGACGGGGTCCTTCCTGCTCCAGCCGGGGGCAAGAGCTAGCGGAATGGGAGCTCTGCTAATTTGATTATGCCAGGATGGAGGGCAGGGAGTATTTTTATTCAGGCACGATGGCTCCGGCGGTGCTTCATTCCTGGGAATTCCGGTTTCATAGCGCAATTTGACGTGAACGTCTATTTCTGCCCTGTTTGGGGTCTTTTGCCTCCGAGGGTGTAAGCCACCAAAACCTTAAGTAATTTGCAACGCAAATTGTACGAAGCCCACGCTGCCCCCACGAGCCTTCGTGGCTCCTATGCAAAATGTACTTTGGGGAAAAATGGGTCTAAAAGGACGAAAAGAGAGGCGAACGCTCCAGCGTTATTACCAGCAACGCGACCGCGTGAAAAATGTCTGTAATTATTTGCTGTATTTTATCTCTTGCTTTCTCTACGCCCTCTCTTGCCGCTTGGATGCCGGCAGTGAACAAATGCAGAATTTTTCAGGGAAATAAAAATGCAGGCGCGTTCTTTTAAACGTTATTACTATTGTTATTAATTTGCTATTATTTTTGGTGGGGAACCAAAAAAATGAAACCCGCTGCAAGTTGAGAACCCAAATTCGAATATAAACATCCAGGACTCCTGCAGCTAAGATTATTTTTTCTGAATGGAAAAAGGAAGTTCTACAATCACATTTCACCACAGCTGACTCTTAATAATAAATACAAATGACGTCGAGTTCCGTCTTTCCAGGAAAGAAATACAATTATTTTTCTCTATTACGGCGTGTGTATACAATGGCCACAGAAAAATAGCAGAGGAGAGCTTTATTTGCATTTTTAAAATTGTTAGAAAATAACGGTCTCCTTGTTTGTGGAGATCTTGCAACTGTTCTGTAATTTTCGAACTCTAATGGGGGATAATAGTTTCATTATGGGCCTTTGTAATCCGGAATGGGGGGAGAGAGCGTTGTTAAAATAGGATCTCTGTAAGATTTCGGATTAAACTGTTGGGAAGACATGAAAAGAAAAAGAGAGAAGGAGAGAGGGGGAGAGAGAGAGGGGGAGAGAGAGCCCACATAGCGATGTAAAACTAATTAGATCCACACTTTCGCATGCACAATATTTACACGTGATTTTAATTATTACTCAGCCGTCCCTACCATTTGCTGGGCTCTATTTTCAATAAAAGATATTTCGAGTAAATTGAGCCTCTCGCGGAGATTTTTTTGTCCTCCCTGCATCCCATTGACCGCGCTCCCTCGCCAGCCGCGGGGATAAACAGCGTGAGCGTCCGCCGGAGAAAAATCGGGGAGTCCCGGGCATATCTGCAAAGCGCTCAGCCACGACTTTAATTCCTAACACTGGACTTGGATCTGGCCGCCTCTTACTTTCCCCCCGCGCACCCTCCCCTCCTTCTGCGGAGGACTGTAGCCCTCCGCTCGGTTTCGGATGCCGCTAGCGTGTGTCCTGCAGTCAAAGGAGGTGCCAGCAAATAATTAACTATATTTGCACATAAATTTGATTCACCAGAATGCGGGACGGCCGACTGCGAGCGCCCCTTTGATAGCCGCCCGGAGAAGCAGGGTGCCTTTCGGCAGCGGGGAGACGGGGCTTTTTCTCCCCTTTCCCCCCGCTGCTTCCCTGCATAGTTAAGAATTAATCGTCGCGATAAATACCGCCGCCCGGCTCTGCCCGCGCTCTTTCCCGCCCGGCCAGGACG